TCCTAAAATACTTTATTCAAGATCCATATTTTTCAAAAACAATAAATCTTGTTAAGAAAAGCAAGGCATAAACAAAACTAAAGTAATAGTTCACCTCTTTTTGTAGACACAAAATATAACACAATGAAAAATAGTTGTTTTCAGCCTTTGAAGGCTTTCCTTCCTAATGAACAGCTTGTATGGAATTGCTTTGCTTTACTTCTTACAAAACAACCTCAGTTCGTCTTTTACAGATGATCTTCATAATGTAATAGTTTGAGAAGGCATAAAAATACAAGAAACAAAAAAGGTTTATTTTGTACTTCATTAAGTGCAGTGCGTTACTGTGTACCTGTGAAAAAAACTAATGCAGTCTCATACTCCACTTATTATTGACTACATACTTACACCTGTTACCCCTCGTTGAGGATCACCGATCGCCCATCAACACTCTTCATCCGACCCTGTCACTGGCAGTCCCTTCCAGTTGCTATTCATCCGTTTTGTGTCTGCTTCCAATTTCCGACGCAGTATGTCCTATGGCCTTCCTGCATTCCGTCTCCCATGTTGTCGCTTACCTTGTGGTGCAGTTTGACGATTTCCTCAATGTGCATCCTGTCCCCTTCCAACGGCTTTTCTTAATTTTCTCTTCAACTAGAAGCCGGTTTGTCTTCTTCTAAAGTAAGCTGTTGATGATGGTATTCAGTCAACGGATATCCAGTATCTTACGTAGAAAATTGTTTGTAAATATTAGTACCTTTTTGATTATGGTTGTAGTAGTTCTCCGAGTTTCAGCATCGTACAACAGAACTGTCTTGACGTTCGTGCTGAGGATTGTGACTTTGATATTGGTTGACAGTTGTTTTGAGTTCTATATGTTCTTCAACCGTAGGAATGCGACCCTTACTTTTCCAATCCTAGCCTTTACATTCGCACCGGGTCCTGTTTGTCCATTGATGATGCTTCCCAGTTACGTGGAAGTTTCTACAACTTCCAGAGTTCCTCCATCAAGTGTGATTGGGTTGATGTCATCCGTATTACATTTGAGGATCTTGCTGTTTTCATTATGTATGTTGAGTCCTACTGCTTCACAGGCTGCTGCTACACTACCCGCCTTCATGCGCCCGTAGCTCTTCTGGAGTTACTGCTGGTCGCAGGCCCGAGTAAAAGAGGAGCTTTGGGCACGAGTTCAGCAACCCCATCCTGTAGAAAAAAATCTTGCCGAAAAATGCCAACCAGAATAAACAAACTAAACAATTTATACTCTGCCCTGGAAGTTGAAGGAAGAATTATGATGCTTCAGGATGAAAGACACTTATTATTACTGTATTATAAAAAACAGGTTCAAAGTTTTGTGAATAATATGTATGGTTAGAGTTAGTAAAGTAATAAATAAAAATATTTGTCAGTAGATGCTATTTGATAATGCGATCCAACAGACTGATTCTAGTCGCTAATTTGAATAACAAGCGCAAGCCTCTGAATAATGCATATGAAAAATCAGAAAATAAGTCTACATGATTGAATTTTACTCTGATAAATACCATATTTACAGACATGTATCAGATACAAAATAAACGCGAGTAAATGTCATTTCAGAAATTACGGATTAGAGATAATGCATTCTATAGGTTATTCACGATTTGGTGTAATCAGAATATAAATTATGGGGTTTATTTTTTGTTAACCATGTCAAAATAATTGATTATTCATAATAGATGACTTATCCATTTTTAAGGTAAACTGAACTGATAAATTTTTCTATTTAACGTCTCTTGTACTCCCTAAGAATTATTGTTTGCACTAGAGTGACTAAACTTACAGTTTGATGAGAAATGGCTAAAAAGTAAAATCCCAACAATTTATGTACTTTTATTCTATAAGAGTGAAGAATACTCGTAAAATGACTCTGATGACAACAGTCAGACAACGATGGCTAGTTGAAATTTAGGCATTTGTAATAAAATAACGAAAACATAAAACTGAAAATGATCGTTGGAATCATTTTTTTCCGTTTTGCAAAAGTTCTGAAGGCTTCCAAAGGACGCCATGTAGTTTTATTTGAACCACAATACATTCAACCTTAAAGCATGGTAGAAGATAAGTAGATGGAGATACTTCAGTTCCATGTGATAACTGAACACATTTTTGACACGTTATTTAAGAAATTTGCTTCATTTTCAGTTAGACTTAAGCCGGATTCTAAACTGCGTACACGATTGATCTTAAACTCTGGTCATCAAAGCCACGTCAGCGTTTTTATGTCACACACCTGTAAAACTTCACATCGTACCGGGAATATTTCGAGTTTTGATCGCGTACTATCAAGTATTAGTTTGTTCAACAAGAATCTTCGGTAAAAGATGACTGAACGGAGATTAAGTTTCACCAATATTTTTAGGAGATTTATATCACTTAAGAATAATTCATGAATTGAAAGGGGATTTGAGATCAAATAAAAATGTCAGTTTATCCCCAGATTTCAAAATAAGAATATTCTGCTCCATGTATATGAAAAAAAACTTTTATATATTTTAATCAGACAAGGCACTAGAAGTTGTCTTCTTTGGAACCAGTATTTATATCACTTATATAAGGTTAGCAGAGAAAACATTTCTTGGAAACAGTCTTATTGTTGAGTTTTTTGTGTGCAGCTTTATGGATCCCTTTTGTTGAAAGTAATAAGAAAAGACCATAAATAAAATATCAGGCCAAACTAAAATTTTTCACAAAGACAAATCTTTAACCTGAAGTTGAAATTACGATGGTGAAGAAGAGTGATAGCTCAAGTGGATGATTTTAGTAGGGCTTCATTTTCTGAGCTAGATGGCTTTCTCTAGGGCACAAAATCACATTATCCAGATTCCTGAATTATAAAACAATTAAATTCTAAAGGATTTACCCCTCTGATATTGTTAAGTTTATCCGTCCATAGCTTCGTAATTAAAATAAAAACGTTTTCGCAAAAACTATTTTTGCCAGATGCTTTAAAAAAGTCTCTAAAATCAACCGTTAAATGTGTCATAAAAATAATGTAAAAAGTTCTTAATCCCTCTATCAAATTTTTATTTCCATATATGTTCTAGCCAATATTAGTAAACATTGGGATCGACAATTGATGTACAAAGTTGATTCATGTGGATATTTCTGATTTAAAGTTTATTCTTTTCACCTTATCAAGTTTTAAACAAATTAGTAATAAACACTGGTAACATTAAGTAAGAAAACTGATTGTGGAGTAGAAAATTATGATACGTATTTTAGGCCACCATCCAATTTATATTTTGTGATTAATTCACCAGTTAGCAGTAAATACAGACTTAATGAACTCAGCTCAAATGCGCAGGTTGCATATTTAAATTTCATTTTACCGATTTGTTGAAGGAAAATTACAAGTTTTATTTTTACCAAGATAATGAGATAAAAAAAAAGATTTATACCTTATTGTTGAGTTTTTGAAATAATTTTCGACTTTTTGCTTTGTGATGTACATGAATAGATACATAATAAAATAAAGGGAAGATATTTTACTACAGTCATATTTGGTCATGACGTTTCAAACGATAAATATCATAATTTCCTGTTGGTTAGTCTTTAACTAGCTCAGTACAGTGTTAAATAGAGCAAGAATAAAATGAACTCATTTTGTTTCGTAAGGTTCTCATCAATTGTTTTCAATCTTTAATTACTAAAAATCAAAATTATTGTAAAGTTTACATACTTATAACAGCAAAAATGGGTAGGTATCATCATTTTGGAGAAATGATAGTGTAGAAATGAAAAGAGCGCTGTAAATAAATATGTGTGAGGAAAGATTCTAGACCGTCAGACAGCAAAAAGAGATCCCGAAGAAAATAAATAGTTGATTATATAATGAAGCAGTCGGAAACAAATTAACATTTAAGGATAACATAAGTTGACATCAGTCAGTTAAAAAATGGTGTTATGAATACGAAAAAACAATGAGATTATTATGGGAGAGATCTAAATTGCAAACTTAATGTAAAAAACTTGACGATGAAGAGACTGTTGTGAGGAAAGACTTGCAACTGCTTCCGTTAGACGACTATAGCTACGGCAAATCCGAGAAAGGCTTTTAGCAGCTCTGTTGTAGAACTTCTCTGTAACACAGAGAGTCAAGTTGATAGACTGAAATCTTTCAGGATCATCTATCAAGGGTCAGCCTCCATGCTTCTTTAATTAGCCGAAGCTATATTCATATTTGAAATATTTTATTAGATAGGTGGATATTTTAAATAACTGTTAACAATCGGTCATATCAGTCATTTGAATCCAAATTCATTAGTTTATATATTCATTAAACTTAAGAGACTTGTGATGATTTTTTCCTGAGGTACTACTAGAAAAATCACTGATACTTCTCAAATTTATGCCTATATACCGACATCTAAAACTAAATAAATAAGTTATAGTAAATATTACGAGGGAAAACAGCCAATTTGGAGTAACCTGATTCCAGTGGTATTTTAAGCATCTTGATTTAAATTTCTAAGCAAACATCTCAACAGACAGATGGATTTCAGTCAAAGGATACATTATTACGATAAAGAAATATGAATTTTGTACAAAGACATAACCATAACATCCCCAAACAGTTTTATTACAGAATACAATTTCGATTTACAACTGTATACGGCATTATATTGCCAAAATAACAATGCCACAAATCTAACAATGTTAAATATAATAACAAACTTATATAAATTTAGACATTTTTTGAAACTAGTTCACCAGTCAAATATTTATGTACAGCACTCTTGCGTCTTATCTGGAAGGAAATAGCAAGTTTGAGATGCATTAAATCCGCAATATTTAACTTTTATGAAGCAATATCCATAACTCTATAAGTTAGTATTTTTTTAAATGTATTAAATGTTAAATAAGTTTAAGATGAAATGTAACTTTCTTATGTAGTTTTGTTTAGAATAGATTATTAACAGCAATACAAAAAATAAAATCACTAAGAAATTTTCTTGTCAAGAAAAAAACCCAGATTCACAATGAATTCAACGGAGAATGATAACAGAAATACCCAGAAGTTTCAAAAAAACCTTAATGAAACATTAGAAGGTAATAATAGAATAGATTAATAATGAACTGTTACAAAAAATTTTGTTATGTATTTTAGAAAAAGAAAAATTAAAAAATATATTATCATCAACGAAAACTGAATGTAACTCATTAAAAAGTCAAATTGAATCAGGTAATGTAAGAAAAATAAATATTAATAAACTTTTGATTACTTAGCAACAGAAGAATTGAGAAAAGTTAATAAAGAAATTCAAGACATACAAAGTTAGTGAAAAATAATTTAATTATTTTATAAATAATAATTTATTTTCTTGTAGTTAAGAAAAAGTTGTTAATAAAAAAACAAGCTATCAGACGACAAAGAGAACAAAAGTACGTATATATATATATATATATATATATATATATATATATATATATATAATTTGAACCATGGGTCAATGAATATTCGTGTAGGATTTATAAATTGATATTATACGAAGAAAAGTTATTTAATGATAGTATATCGTAAATATTGGACTCCGATTAACTAACAACATAGTGAGTATCAAGTGATTTTAGTCTCATAATATTTTCAACATACCAAGGTACAAAGTGTAATTTTTATAACGGATATTTTGCATACTAATTAAACTATGCCACTTTTTGCTTTTGTCGACTCTTTTCGATTACTTATACAGCTTAGCTTTAATAAAATTATGTAAATCAATAACATCACCAAAATTTCATCAAAACAGGAACAAAATTATTTGTTTTAACTCGGTTACTTATCCTAGGTATATGATATTGAATTAATATGGTTACACTAAATAATATATTCTAACGCGAGCAACACTAGAAATTACTGCGAAAATTTTATGCAAGATTTTAATCAGTTATTAAATAAATCACCGAAATCAAGAATCAGTTGGGCCCAACTTTTGAGATTTTCAAGATATAAAATCGGTTGTTATTACTTTAAAGCAGGTCAATTGCTCTATATAAATATATTCATTCGCTAGCAAACTAGTTTATGTTTGGGTACTTTATCGACTCTTAAACGTCTTCATAAATGATTTCATATTTGTTTTACAACCATTGGGTGCATACTTCATTAAGGGTTATAAAACATTAATCAAAGAACCATATAAATGTAATTCTAGATTTGTTTAGGTAGTTTGAAAAACACAAGAATTCCTGTTATTTAATCCATTGGTAGAAACATGATTTAATTGAAGGATTACTTTAGACAAACCAATAAATTACATATCATTACATTAGGATTCGGAAAGAATACAAATAAGAGGGATTAGATATTTTGAGTTGTTTTGCTTAGAACTTAAGACAACCTTTTATCGATTCTGTGCGATTCAAACACTAAATAAAACTATTCTGTACATAGCCATCTATAAGATAAATGTTTGCTAAGATTACTATCTGAACTGTATGTAGAAAACTCTGCTTTAATCTTTATCATAAATAGCATACAGTATATTATATTTACACTGTCATTACACTGAAAAGACTGGTCTGTTATTTCTATATATGACCACTCTGATTTTTTCGAAAATTGATAACAAATTTATCATTTTGCTCCCCATATTCCTCTTATAACTAACCTATTGCTAACTTGGGTAAGCGATAGACATTATTAATACAAGTATTTAAGCAATTTTAAAATGTATGGTCTAGTTTAATGTAATAAAAAACTCATCATTTTTACGGTTTTCCCATTTATTATTGTGCAGGGCACAAAAAGATTTATACTCACTAATTTCAAATAAACAAAAAATTGAAGATTCGATAAAAGTTGAACGTGAAAATTCTTTGAATGAAAGGTAATCTCAACTGATAAGTGGTTTTTACCATTGTACTAACTTATTTACTCAATAGAATTCATCAACTACAGGAATGTATTAAATATTCAGAAGACCATTGGATTTTTCGATATTTTAATGATAGAAATTTTGAAGATGATCCACAAAAAGAAGAAATTGAAGGAAATGAAATCGTTTTCATTGAAAATAAACAAATTTAATATTTTACTGTTTGTTAATGTTATAGCTGTTGGTTTTTATTGGTAAATAAATTGAAGTTGAATTCACTGTTGTTCTTTCACATATGCTTTTTTATTTGCTCATTGTGTACCAGTTCAAAATACGAAAACAAACAAATACGTACTATTTTTTGGTCAGTGTGTTGATGACTTAAAAATGCCATCAGCATACTTGAGTATAATAAAGTGCATCACTATGTCCCAACTGAGTATTGTCAATAAATATATAAACTATATCATCAATTAATCGTAAATGAAAGGTCATAAATAAACATAAAATATTAGTGTGTAGATTATTTTGACGTTATTTCAAAGAATCTAAGTACGAACACTTGTGCTCTTTCATAATACACATGATTGGTGAAGGAAATCTAAATTTTGATCAAGATCGTGAATCGCTAAATGTTAGACCACCATTGAAAACCTGAAAGTACGGGACAGTCGTTTCGTCTTGGTACTGAATTTTTCAAGGGTCCGCATACATGATCCGCACTCGGGCTTCGACCTCGGAACCTCCGGTCTTGCACCGGCGCAGTAGTTTAGAGGTTGAGCGTCCGCTAGCGAGACCGAAGGTCCTGGAGTCAAATACCGAGTGGGGGATCGTTTATGCGCATCACTGAGGAGTCCCATATTGTGACAATATGGTCGTTCAATGATTCCAGGTTTTCAATGGCGTTCCAATATCCATCGATTCATGATTTTCATCATTACTCAACAATCTCCATAACCCTACACTGATAAAATTTAAATTGTTTAGGGTGTTATGTGTGTGTTAAGTTCAAGCCTAATATTGTAAAATGTCAAAATCTTGAAGTTTTTTGAATCGAACACAAAAATAATTGAATACATAATTTTATGTAAAAAAGAAATAAAATTCAATATTAAATTTATATTTGGTAAACTGCCAAGTACTCATTCCAGAAAATAATTTAATATAATTGTAAATAACAGACAAACAGGTTACTTTTTGAATACAACTTTCAATGTCATGCAGTTAAAGCTAGTGGCCATAAAACTTCAAAACCAGATTTCGTGCTTGTTGGTGTTATGACTGGTCATCGCTAATCGTTATGTCGGAACCCTTACTACTTATACTTCTGAAACAAGGAACCACTGCAATTCCCGCGACGCAAAGTAAGAACACCAAGACTGATACAAATGAAGATGTACTAAACCCAAAACACGACCCTAGTCGAAAATACACTCATTTACATATTGATTGTACACCTATTTTGATAATTAATTAGGACGAAATCACATATGCGAAAAATACTTAGAGTTATAACAAATCACACCGCATGTCATGCCGAACATAGATTATGTTTAATTAATAAAGAATATCGTATCTTTAACAAATATTGCACTCAAATAAATTAATGCTTTACCGAGTTAAAAAATTACTACTGGAAAATAAAGCAAATACTACACTGAGTAATTATCACATTGAATTAAAAAAGTGAAAGTAATAATGAACAAAAATAACAATGAGTAAAAGAATGTAATTTTGCTTCATAATTCCATCATATCAGTTAGCACACGCTATCAAACCCTTTCTATAATCTGCAGAGAAATGACATTCTCTGGTAGATAGTTCCACAATCTAAAACATTATCACTAAGCTATTCAAGTCATAGTCAAATTACTACAAATAAAATTATGAACTGTTCTTCTCCACCTCTCAAATTATCAAAAAGGAATGTATAAATCAACGTGTTTTATTACTAGTAAGCTGTATGACCAAAATTCCTAATTTTAGTTCATTAGACTTGAGACTATTAACTCTTGGTGGTAATATGAAAATATAAATTCGAAAATTTATGTATTACGAGTCGTACAAGCAAAATATTATTAATAACTTCTTTTTTTTTGACATTATCACATTTTGTATTACTAAACAGAAATTTTTATTGTTCAGTTTTCGTTATGTTTTAAAGTTTGTTGATCAAAGAACACATTCATATATAAGTCAATTGAAGCTAGACCACCATGAAAAACCTGGAAGCACTGGTCAACCGTTTCGTTCTAGTATGGGACTCCTCAGCACTGAGCATCCACTTTCAAACTTTCGTTTCTCAATTAAAAATTACTTGTTTTTTATTGCCTTCTACTTTAAACAAATAACTCCTACCGTTTAACAACAAAGTCAGAGAAAAAAACATTAGACTATAGGTACTATAACAAATACCCGCTGATTTTTTTTAAACTACTTAAAACACTGCACTATAATAATGATATTTATCATTTTAATTAATATTAACAAATGGATTGACTAGTTTGCTAAAATATCAACCAATTTGTTAGTTGCAATCTGATATTGTTTTAAGCATTAATACAAAAACAAGTAAATTTAATCGGTGACCTTAATTTATTTGTTCATAAAACGTTTCTTTTTCAAAGAAAAACCAAAATCTTTAAAATTCAATTGATTGGTTGGTAACCATCTTCCTTAAGTAATAAGGTTTAAGAAATAATATAAAAAGAAGAATACGTACAAATGTACTTTATAAAATTTATTCACTTAAATCAAAATATAATAATGTTAATATAACTATTTTACATATTAATAAGCAATGAATGGAAATGTAATAATAAAAGAAAAGTCAACTACTTCAAATTCAATTAGTAATCAGCATAGAATTACAACACCTATTCAACCAACATTACGTACTCGTAGTATATATCTTGTTTATCCACCACCGGTAAAATATGAACCAAATCCACCACCTAGAATTAATCCTTATTTTTATTCGAAACATGCTAAAAATATGCTAGCTGAAACAACTGATGCTAGTAATTATATTCATGAAAGAGCTAATCATATGTTAAGAAATGAATATGATAGATATCATCATTATTATTCTAATTATTTTTATGGAAATATGAAAGAGAAAGAAGATTATCGGTAAGTTACTACTTATAGTTATTTCCAAATTAACCAATTTAAAGTTTTGTATTAAACAATTCAGTCTAATTGTGAACGGAACGCTTCAAAATAACATTAATCTTATGTTAATATAGACAAATCTGTCAAACCATTTCAACCCTAATGTTCAGTCAATATGGTACTACCAGTTTTGTCATTATTATTATTATTACGCGGGATTAAACTACTCTTCTATTAAATACATAGTAAATTGATGTATTCATAATAATGTAATGCATAAGTAGATGAGCAAGAAAGAAAACGGTTTCTAAATTTGTTTATTGCATTGTAAAGAATAAACTCAGACAGATTTGTTGACCACATCAAACTACTTTATAAAGAGGGGAATCTATCAGTCCCTATTATTAGAACACTATAAAATAACTTCAAATAAGAAAGTTCCGTCAGTCCTAGAAAATCATTTTTCTGAAAAATGCATGATGTTGATTAGAATTTCTTGAAAGTTTAGGAAAACTAGCATTTTTAAAGTCACTTTTTGTTATTTGGCTTTATTATCAGTGATCTAATGAATTTCACAAACTTAAAATCTATATAATCATTTTATAATGGTTACCAATCTGTACACAGAGAACGAAACATTCATGGTATTCACGGATAAACTATTTAAAAATCTATTTCAAAGACAATAATAGAAGCACAGAGAAATCAATTACTTTGCATTCTTAAAGTATATGTATTTAACTCATATAATTATATCGAACAAAAGGTTGACACTAATGATTATCAATAAAGTTCGCGCTTCGAAACTAAAATCGCTATGACTCTTTTTATAATCAAGTCTTCTGATGAGCAAAAATAAACTTTTATTAAGTGGATATATTGTTTATACTAGCAGTAATAAATTCTTTAAAAAAGTAAGGATAAGAACATAAATTTAGTTACTGACGATTATATAGACCTTTCCTAGTTAGTTAAATTAACAATAAATTAAGATACATTACTCTGATAAAATCTGAAACTATTTAGATTTTAAGAGTCAGAAAACTATGCGGTATTAAAGTATATCATTGTAATTGTTACTAATAAAAGTGATTATGCATAATATTGGAAACTTATTATTCTTAAACTCTAAAACTAATAATCACTGGGATAAAATGTTATCAAGTTTAGTTATTTATTATCAAGGGAAAATGGAAATTCAGATTAAAAGAAAAACGAGAAAAGAGATCAGTAAATTAGTCTAAAATCTTTAATCATAAATTTATAAATGTATGTAATTCCTTTAATGACAAGCAAAACGTTATCAAATGTGATCTACTGGGAAACCTTATTGTTTTTTTGAAGTAGCTAGTTATCATAAAAGTGAAATTGTTCTACGTAAAACTAACCACCTCCATCAGATATGATATTTCAAACTGTCCACTTGACATACAGAGCTTACAAATGCATTTAGTAGAATTTGTAATAACCTTATGAATTCTTTTGAGGACGATTTTGAAAGTAAACTCAGAAGCAGTATGAAAATTAACTTGAGCAAACTCCTGGATATCATCTATTTAATTTCAATAATTGCTAAAAAAACCGCTTTTATGTGAGGGATTGGCTAGTTATTATCACTTAAAGCATAAATCGAGTGTTTCATCCAACTATAATCAGTTGACTTCATAAATATCACCAAATTTTCAAGGTCGTATTATGTGAAAACAAGAAGACAGGTCAATTCAGTCATTTCAAGTAGTCCTATATCTTTATAATAATCATACGCTTTCAAATGAGATAGACTTCTGAAGTTCTTGTGAAAAGACTTAAATGGTAGAGTTCAAGCATACAAGAAGTACAAAGTCCATCCCTGACAAAATTCGACAATCATCACAGAATATCATAAAGTTAAAAATGTGAACCACTGAACTGTATCGTATTGGCTTAATATTATCGTGACAGCATAGGGCTCTGGTTACGTTGAGTCGGAACACATGTACTATTGTACGTTCACACCGCTGTTCAAAGCACTATGAATTTTAGTTGTTCGTCTTGTGATACCAGTTCTGAATTACTTCTGCATTTCAAGAGATCAAATCTCCATAAATCCTCTGTCCAC